TAACCAGTCGATCTTTTTAATGGTGAAGTGTAGTGTTTTCTTCGCGGTACGGACTGAATACGTAATATTTCGACGAGCTTCGGCTTCAAAGGGTTAACCATTCGATCTTTGTAATGGTGAAGTGTTGTGTTATTACGTCATGTTGTATCAAGGAGGGAAAATACAGATCACAGCGGGAATTGCTTTTTTCCGACGTCAGTGTGAATGAAACGAAAGTTCATTATTTCAGACGATGATTAGTTAATGTTCATCACGTGACTGCTCGATAAAACTTGAAGCGATTAATACGATAAAATCCTGTCGGACTTCATGCCTCGTCATGTTAGAACGTCTAACGTTTCAGAGGCCCGTTTCGTGTCCATCATCAGGGAATAATTACGCAAGACTCACAAGAAAGTTGGATCGCGTCTGTAATGTTTACGATCTTGATAAAAAAAACACCAACATCCGAGCTCAGGGACATTGAACTCATCGTAAGAGATATTTTATCTGTCGACAGTTAACCAATTTCCAAAATCCCAGAGCCATTCTAGACGCGTCTGTGTACAGAATGATCTCGAAAGCGGACAGCAAGGTTAAGGCCTTAAGGAGACTCGGTCGATCTCTAGCAACACAAAGTATGAAGTTTCTGTGTACGACCGAGTTCATTGTAGTAGAAAAGACGTTGTTCGTAAGCTCTCAGACTGTTCTGATTTCATGCCATTGTCAATTTTACGAAACTTCATTTATCATTGCGACAGTAATTTTCGTGGTGCATTGTTACATTTCATGTGGTTTGAAAAATGGAATAATGTACCTTGCTTCAACAACGTGATAAATAAATGTAATGATAAAGTGAAGTCATGTTACATTGTCTTCCTGGAGCAGTTGATGTTCATAAGACGTCAACCAGAAAGGATTGAGGAGGAAAGGTAGTGGCCTATTTTAATGTACTATCCCAACATTCGGCCGAGGAGGGGGTGGTAATAGGCTGTGCCCATTAGACACTTTTTCGCCTGAGACGACCTTGTGGTCTGGTAGAAGTTTACCGATGTTTCAGAGGCGATTGGTGGTTCCATCATCAAGACGACCATCTTCATATTCGATGTCGTGAGAACCTGAAAACTCTCTTGGCTAATGCATGTCGCAACATGTCGGCAGCCTTAGGAATCAAAGGGTTAAATAAGTGGTATGAATATTTATTGATTTAATTATTTATTTATTTTAATTCACATATTACAGAAAATATATTAGACTAAGTTCAGTTGTGCAATAACCTCATGCCAGCTAAATTGTCACCGTGGAAACGTGTGACAGTGAGCGATAAGCTTCACGCTCCGCCCACTTTACCCCAGATAAAATAAACTCGGTCATTGCCACATAAGTTGGCTTAACCTCGAAACCGGTCTGGCCGTAATTACAGAAAAATCCACGTCCCCCGTCGTAAACGGTAATCGAATTTTTCAACCCATAACCAGTCACATTCCACGCCTACAGCCTTGCCCTCGGATACCCAGAAGCCGTGTTATAAGCAAGCTTAATAGGCATAATTAGAAGAAATACAACAAATTCATAATGGAAACGAAAAAATAATAATGATAATATAGAGAGGGCGGACGATTCGCTGTGATTCAGGCGACGCCTTGTGGTCTGTATCGATATATCGAAGTATCGATATATCGAATTATCTATATGTCGAATTATCGATGTATCGATGTATCGAAGTGTCTATGTATCGAAACACATTCATATATCGATATTCGATACGTCTTGCCCGTTCTCTACTGCCAAATGGAAAAGGAAAAAGTAATTACTTTGTGGCTGTCCTTGTTCAAATGTACGTTCTCTTTTAAGTTCTTTGTCCTTAATGTTATTCCATTGTTATAGAATCGTGGACGGCTTGCGCAAATCTGTCCACATTGTTGTCGTTGAGCGCGCATATGTTGGCTCGGCCATTAGGTAGTAAGTACATGTGATGTTCGTCCGCCATATAAGCCGCCTGCTTACCTGGAAATACAAGGGTTAATTATATTAATATCCAGTTCGGAGCTTATAAAGGCAGGAGTAGCTCTGAACCCTCTTATCACTCACGGCCCCACAATGACTTTTCGTTGGACCCATCCTGACAAATACACGAGGCTCTCGTTATACGCGGTGGTTACATTCCTGCGTATATCAAAAACGCAGAGAACTTGAAACGTGGATTTTCAAAATGGCGGGTGGCGAGTCAGTGAAACTGCGCGCGCATCTCAGTGGGCATGCGCGTTAGCTTTATGCTGTGTGACCGCGGATAGGATATTGATGCTCGTAGTTACACTGGAATAAAACCGCGGATGATGAAATCGCGCATAAGAAAGGAACCTGTTTCTGTAGTCTGTGTTTCTTTTTTCAAAACTTTTTTTTTAGATTTCTAGTCGTATCATAACGCTCATGACTTCGAACCCCAGACAGCACTTGCATGTTGCTTTATAATATTCAAATCTATTACAAAAATGCACCACAAAAGGAAAACAATGAAGGAAACTCTCGAAAAAAAATATTTTTAGCAATTATTATTATTATTATTATTTATATATTACTGATTATTGCTGAGGCTTGCTATTCTCAGGATATGCGTCCAGAGACTGAGGAAAATCACGAAACATCTCATTGTTAACTGGTTTACCGACTAAAACTCAGTTCTGGGACCTGGCAGCTGTTCAGCCTTGCTGATAAAAAGGCGGAAACAATGGAATTATTCGAAGCGTACTTACTAGTCAGGCCGGTGAAGGAGAACATTCCGGACTGTGACGTGATGTGATTCCAGTTTCCAGGGGTGCCCAGTTCGTCCAAACGTTCCTTGAGACTTTGTCTCGCCACCTTCAAGCGCTCCACCATTTTTCTAAGACTTTCTAGCCTGAACAGGAAATTACATTATTTTTTACGAGGTCTTTCACAGCTGCAATCATATTACCATTACTGCCAGCGTCGTTAAAAAATCATTAAATTCCCTTTTATACTCGAATGTTCGTTGCCTTGTTCACAACACCCCGGCATCGGCCTGTGTCCTGAGCCAGTATAATCCACTCCACACCCTCCAACTCTATATTCCTGCTATCCATATTAATGTTATCATCCCATCTTTCGGGTGGTCTCTTTCATTTTGGCCTTCAAAACAATTTCACTGTTATAGATTTTTACACAATTAATAAATAAATATAAATCCACTTACCACTGCTTCCGTGCCTCAGAGTCTCGCAGAATCCGAACTACGATTTCGCCCCCGTGTCTGGTCGGACAGAGGTAAATAGCCCTCGCGATAATTGTGAGCATGAACTCCACAGACGCCAATTCTTTCTGCCGCCCCTCCTTCAGGACAACCGTGAGACATCCTACCCGATCTCCTGCGGACACGAATTCATTTTCGAGTTTACGGGTCAAGAATACGTACAGCTTCTCCATTTACCTCGTCTTAATTCTAATTTAAACAAAGTTGCGCGGTCACAAGCAGACAGATGATGGCGTTGCGTAGGGAAAATGTTTTCTGCAATGCTAATATCACCTCACTATATCAGCTGTATGATCAATTTTACTGTCATCATATCTCGTGAAAAATCATTCCTTTATTTGCGAGCAATTTTACATCATAAATGCATAAATTACTGTACAGTTCAGTTATTTTCTCATGGCCTTTTATCTGCGCAGGAGGGGAAGAGACACAGACAGTAGTGGGGGGAGCAAAACACTGAGCTGCTCCAAGTTACGTCGCGGATGGACATCCGTTTAATTGTAGTGTGATTTATTGACATAAGACGACGCTGGGATTCTATTGTTGCACTGCTAGACTTTTGACTGGCCACCATCTTTTTTGTTTGTCTCTGAAAATTATTTTTCCTTGTAGTTAGGCTAAGTGGTCATGAACTGTACTTCACAGCAAAGATGTCTTTCTGTCTTCTGGGTTGTAATACCGTGTAGCCTGGTAGAAGTTTACAGACGTTTCAGAGGTCCCTGCTGCCTCCATTATCAGGGCGCTACAACCCATCGCCGTCAGAACCGTAAATCCTACTACAAAACGGTTCAATAGTCCCTGTGCGTGCGTGAGGTTGTAAATTTGAGTGGGTGGTAAAGTTTAATTTCTCACCGTAAAGTCCCATGTTCTTAGAGAATGACTGAGTCACAAGCATTTCGAAGCCTCTGTCCACGAAGTACCGGACAGCCCAGGCGTCTTCCTCTACGTCGCCGCTGGCAAAACCTTGATATGCGGCATCGAAGATTGGAAATAATTTCCTTTCCTGAGAAACAGGGACATAAACATTACTTCAAGGTGGTTAGTGTTCATCGCCACTTCAATCAAAGGCAAAGCATCCTTACGAAATCTGGGCCATTGAGGAGTTAGTGGAACGTGGGTTCGCGATGTTGCCCTAATAAATACAAAATATTATCATGAAAATATTCAAAATGCATTTAACTAAAATGACGTATGGATATGAGAATCCTGGGTTTTAACGAAGTTGCTCCCTTGAAGTCACTTAAGTCTTCTTAAATTTTAAGCATGTCCTGCTTTTGCAGTTAAATGATGAACAGAAAAATCCTAATTCTGACTGACAAATGAAAGGCGTACGTATTTAGGCAGTGAAGTGTTTTATCGTAATCGGTCGTGGCGGTACTCGAAGTTTCACTTTGTAGTCTATACAGAAAACAAATTTTTACTATCAGTCAGAGGTTTTGATTTACGTACATTTTACTGTACTTAAGGATTATAAAAGAATTTCAAGTTTGTCTCCGGCAGTGACAAGGTTAACCAGATAAGACGGCGGAAAACGTCGTAATTTGAATTTAAAAGACGCATTACCTCCATGACGTCCGCGACCTCAGTCCATTGCTTCTTGGTGAGGTCACATCCTGTCGGATTGTGAGCGCACAGTTGTAGGACAATAACAGAATTTTCTGGGGCCTCTCGGAGATCCTCAATCAACCCCTCGAAGTCCACGCCCCTTTTGACGGGATCCCAGTATCGATATTTGCGAGAAGTCGAAAACCCCGCGTACAGAAAAGTCGACTCGTGATTATCTAGAGGAAGGGAAATTTTTTTTTCATATTTTCCCACACGAACTGTGCATATTTGTGTTTGGTCTGTATCATTAGCTATTTCAGGAAGATTTTGATTTTAATTTAGTAAAAGAAATAATTTATTTGTGTGTAAGTTTACATTATAGTTTGTATTTTTTATTATTTTGAAGAAAACTACAAAGGGTTAATTTCAAGTGTCTCGAGAATTTATTTTCAAAAATGATACCAAAATCAAAAAAGAGTCGAAACTGATGTCTCTGAGCGAGAAATGTCGTTCGTGGCATGAAAGTGTCGTACATTTTAAATTTTATTTTCTCAATTCGGAAAGCACGTCACACATTATGAGTGTTTTTTCCTTTATTGTGATTTAAGTAATTAGTCCCTGCGACTTGGTGCTTTAAAATCTAACTGGTTTTCACTATTTTATTTGTAGTGATCAATATCCAAGATTACTTTCGTGGTAAGAAAACACATAATTCTCGAAGGCTCAGTCACTGTTAAAAACAATTGAAGGTGTTTATGCGGGCCTCTGAGACACAAAATGAAATAAGTCTGAAACGCTAATAATATTCAAATGCCTCATCTCGGCAAATAACATACATTTTATTGTCTTGAAAACAAGTCAAAATCTTAGTGCCTCACCCCACGTCGGTTCCGAAATGTAGAAGGTGTCGTACTTGGCGTGTCTCACCAGAAGCTCCGCCCCAATACGGAGAGCCCCAGATCCACCGACTGTCTGGATTCCGAGCGCCTGTAGAAGAGATTAAATTACCTTTTTAAAGCTCGTGGACACGTGTAAAGGGTTCGCGCCTTTTACGGCCTCTGATTTTTCGCGAGGTTTGTCACAGAAGAAGAATCTAAATCCCTTGACTTCAAAAATTATATTTTTGAATAAGAAATACGAGGTATTCTCTGTTTATAATTCTGTCCTTAACACTGAGAAGATGCACTCACTCTTCCAGTCCGTAAGGCAGGACTTTCCTCCCCAAGGATAAGGCGAGGTGCTAGTGTTTTGAACGAATCCGTTCCCAAAAAAAGGATGTATTCGTGATTGTAAGTGACGCTTTGAACCAGTTTCTTCTCCAGATCAAGTACAACTGGCAGTACCCATGGTTCCCCATCCTCGTCTCTGTAAGCTAGAAAAAATATTATTAAAATTAAAATTCCAGGCCATCGAATTTCGGTTTAAACGTGTCGACCCGAGGATTCAGTGACTGCACGGTTTTAATAGTGGGCGAGCCGGGCTGTCGCCCAGGGAGCCAAATCAAGTGGGCGAAAGATCTTCATCGGTATTTTATGAAATAATTACCAATTCTTTCTGTAACTGAAATTTAAATAGCACAATGGTGTTTATATATGTGCGTCTTTAACCCTTCTGAAGCCGAAGCTCGTCTAAGTAACATTTAATATAATTCAGTCCGTACCGCGAAGAAAACACGACACTTCACCATTACAAAGATCAAATGGTTAACGCTGTTTAAGGAAATAATACAACTAAAACGCTAATTAACCTTTGGAGCCGAAGCTCTTTCAAATGATACTTAAGAATCCAGTCCGTACCGCGAAGAAAACACTACACTTCACCATTACGAAGATCGACTGGTTAACGTTGTTTAAGGAAATATTCTCTGATTACACTTGGAACATACATACAAAATTCACAATTACTGATAATGAAGCACGTGGTACATATACTTACCACTGGCCTGAAAAGATTTTTTTTTGTAATTCCATACGTTAACGGTCACGTGTTGTTGTTATGGGTTGTGACAGTTTGAAGTAAATACCAACGTTTCGGAGTTGAAGATGATCTACAGGTCCACAGGACAACAAAATTGTCTGCGATTATGTTCCGCGCGTATATTTAGACTATCTAAAGTCTCATCTAAGTTCTGTAAAGCCCAAAATCTATTGGATATTCCTATCTGGTACTTCCCCTTAACTTGTACATAAATGATAATTGAGTTTATTCGAATCGGATCTTCCTAAATCAAACTTCTGCGTTGCGTGTTTACGTACTGAAAGCCTCTCCTTTAAATTTCGGTATCACAGTCAGCTTATCTGAAAGATCTGATACACTGGAGTGTCGTTTATAGTAAATTCAAACACGATTATCTGATTATGTGTCCAAGTACGTGAAGGTGAGGGAATGTTTTGCTTTTGACAATTAGATTTTTTTTTTTAAATTTCAAAATTTATTAGTCTTGCCCTAATATCATTACTAACTTTATCAGTTTAATCAGTTTGAAAAGTCCCCCCCCCCTCCCTAACTTCGCGACAAAAATCTCCTAGCAACGTTTTCGTATGGTACCCAAGAACTTTTAGTTCTTCGTAATTTATGTTTTGTGGCTATAGTCCTTATCCTCATTCGGGGCATGCACCAACGACCCTTTAGAGTTACATACGAAATCCTGTCACTGACAAACTCTAATCTTTTAACTACTTAAATAAATCATGCCCCTTAGTTGTGATTAACGTCCAACCCTCAAGCTGAAGGACCACCCTTCGTCGGCTATCCGCGACTGCTTATTCAACATATTCGTAGCTACCATTCATGTCTACAGGCCTTCTCCCCCATCCACAACCTCAAGGACACTAAGTACGTCATCTAGATGGAAAACATGTACAGACCATTCCATTCATTCTGTAACAATTCTAGCCTGCCTTGGCATTAGATGATACATTTTTAAAGCCACTTAAGTTCGGTGATAATGTAAATTAGAATCGCTTGTCTAATCCAGGCCGTCAGCTCCTGAAGAACGTGATGAATGTAATGTCATGGTTCCCGCAATGTCAACGTACTGTACCATCCCAACGACATTAAATTCGTTAGATTTCAACATTAAGAAGTTCTGAATGATCCTAGGTTCAATGTTTGTATGAAACAAGGGCCGAACCCGGTCTTGCAGATTAATTAGGCCTGCATAAACAAGAGTAAGTGAAACGTATGCGATTGTATTATTTCGTGGCATGTTTGATGAAGCTGGCTTATCTTATTGACGTTATGTGTCTTTAAAATGCTGAGTCAGTATGTCTGCAAGGTGTCTGTGAGGTGCAAAGATACAGGGGCCTATACAGAGGTCTATTATTACCATTATTTTCTCTTTACACTTCGTTAAAGACACATTTCAAACAAAAAATTCCAAATCTAACCTAAATCTAAAATTAATTTTGTTTGCAAGGAGTCTTTGACGGAAAAAAAAATCAACAGTTTGGTTTTTGGCTTGAGAATTCGTTTGGTTGTTTAGTAGATAAGTTATGTGGACTGACAGGAAACCATTTCACTTTAAATTAACCTTGTACCCCGTTTCCTACTGAACTACTTACCTCCCGGAATTAAATTAATCTTCTCCTCGCTTGCATCCGCGTAGCACCTGATACATACATCAACGACGTCAATAAGTTCCTTGGAGTTGACAGCACTGAAAGTTGGTGACGCCATGTTAACGGATGGCCAGTCACAGAGACACTACAGCGAAGTGCAGAGTGTTGTACCGCAGATAGGACGACCTTGATCCGGGAAAACAATTGTGAAACTCTGAAAATACGGCTTTATCAGTGATAGCAACGTGTTTCCCCCGCTGCATGGCTTGTTGCACACGATACCATAGTTTTGGAGGAGTCTTTTGTTCTGTGAAACCGATCGTGTACATGAGGTGGTTAAATTTTTTTGGCATTTATATTATTACAGCTCAAAGTGAAAGGTTCCTGGCTGAGGGCGAAGATGGTTCTCGAAACGTTGGTTTTCTTCATTAAGCCACCTTACACGGCTGGTAGCCCGCGAAAAATTCATTTTAAAGATGGCTGTCTTCTGGGTTTATCATCAGGTTGACAAGTACTCATCACTCTGACGATGGAGGCAGTAAGGACTTCTGAAACACCGGTAAACATCTACCAGACTACACGGCGCAACAACCCAGAAGACATCCATCTTCGGATGTTGAAAGTGATACCACGAGGTTTCTCTGTTTCTCACATGCTTGTCGTAATCCACGCTGCAGTAAAATTACATGTTTTTTTCCGCACAGTAAACATATTTGATTAAAAATGAATAAATACTAAAGTCAGAGTTGACAATCACTTTATTTCAGGTGGAAAAAGGAGTATTTGCCATATCACAATATTCTTAATATCAAATAATGCATATTACATTAGCAAATTATTACCCTTAGAATATACACATAATGAATGCATTAAATGCACAAACAAATCTAACAGGATTTCTGTACAAATTCCATGGTAACTTCATTTTTATAACAAACTGGACACCCTTGAGACATCAGGATACGTAAAGAACTTTCAGACATTCAGATTGAGGTAGTTCCTAGACCTTTAAGCCCTTCCCGAAGACTTAAGCACCAACTGTTTACAGCTTTGATTTATTAAACGCAGGGCGGCGTAACTCACATCTGGCAAGTTAACCGAGATGATAGCGTTTACAACATTTGTGTCCTTGGACTACATCAGGAGTTCTCAGCCCATGATCCACTTTGATTTTTTATAATAACGTGCGACTGCACAACGAACAGTAAAACCTGGCATTAGAAGACGTACGAATGTTATCACTATTCGACCACAAGTCACCACCTTTGGACGATCGTTCGGCTTAATGAATGTCAAATCAGGAACTGGAATGTTTGTTACTGATGAATGCTCGGAGGAATGCAAATTGCAGAAATAAAAATGAAACCTGATATTGATTACAAAAGCAAAAGCAGTGTCAGATGTATCACGGACCGATTAACAGTTAAAGGAAAATAGCGAATAACAGGCCTCTGTCGACTGCGTGTCTGCGCATGACATAACAGAATTTTTAATAAATTTTCCGTGGCGGCTCACGGATCAAAAGGTTAATTTTGGTACCAGATCTGGAAATGGTCGAGAACCCTTGGTCTAAACGAATGGATCACAGGTTATTTAATGACGCTGTATGACAGGAGTCTATTTTGTGTTGAATGGCGTGAGGACGTGACCATCTTCAGTGACATTCAAATAATCGGGAAGGAAGTGCTAAGGTCTGTTTCGGTACGAGCGTGGAATTTAGTTCGAACGGCTATGGAAAACCACGGTATATGTTCGTATAGTCGGTGTCCTGGCCGTGGCACTTCGCGAACACAAGTCAGAAGCATTACTGACTGAACCAAACTGCAAGTTTTAATTTAAGAAAATTTTCATCAAGATATATTAATAATTTAAAAATAAAATAAGGGATTTCATATCTTCAAAGTCCGTGTGACTGTCATTACAATGAGATTTTTCAAAATTTATTTTCAACGCTAAACTTGTATGCTAGCCACTGCAGCTAAAAAAAAAAAAATATTGTTCAACGATAAACATAAATGCGGCACAGCGAATCTACGGCCGTCGAAAATCTTTACAGAATCCCTAAAAATTCTCTTGAACTCATTATATTATAAACACATGAATTTTCCCTTTTATGTACCCATAGTCAAAATCAAGAAGGAAGAAGTTTAGAAACCTCCATCAAAGTCTCACACAGACGGACCTAACAGAGGACCGAATGGAAGAGGAGAATTGAGGAGGCCACGGACCGGAGAGCCATAGAAGAAGAAGAAGTCAAAATCTAATTACGTTTTAACGTGCCCCAAAGGTTACTGTAAGCGCACACAGCACTCAGTATTAGAGAAAATCATTCTAGCCCCTTAAATGAAAACAATTCCTCGTTATAACTTGCAAAAATACCGAGGAAGAATCGTTGCACTAATATCAGTTTCCAGGTTTATATTTTGTTGATGCTGTCGCCAGGGACGTCTAGAACAGTTTCGTGAATAGCTTTGGCTACGTAATCAATGTTTTTAGTGGTCAGACCACACATATTGATACGCCCACTCTTGAGTAAGTAGATATGGTATTTCTCCGTCAGATGCTTCACTTGTTGAGCTAAACAAAGAAACATCGAACAAAATAAATGTACAACGAAGAACAATTGTGCTTCATACTTCTCCGCCAGATTTAGCTAATTTGGTAATCTTTCTCTGAAGAACACTCGATGCACTTGAAAAATTTTCAAATTTGGATAGTAAAATTTGATGAAACCAAATAATCTTAAAAAGAAATTACGAGCATGGTAATTTTCCCAGACTCTTCAAGATTCTGTTCATTACGTTATATAAATCATATTAATACACTGTTTTTATATATTGAGAAGAAAACTATGACATCTGCGCAAATGCCAGGCAAGAAGAAGCTGCGAAGTTTCTCGTAAGCATTAAAATTGACATAAAATTGGCTGGAATAATAAATCATCTTATAAGGAATACAGAAATCGTTCAACCAGAATTAAAACACAATCAGTATAATTAAAACAGATGACCTTTAATGTACACCAGTGGTCCCCAACGCGGTGCCAAGACTTTTTTGGTTGCCCGCGTTATTACGGCAAGAGGTTATACTGAATAATGAAGGCCATTCAACCATCTCATCTTACTGATGCCCATCTTGATGATTGTTTTCAAGCAGCATCATCATCCTACACTCCCAAATTTGAAAAACTGGCCGATGAAATGCAGCGGCAAACATCACACTAACTTCCCACTTGAATAATAATAATTGTACTTATAAAACTACGTATTTTTGATTGCGTGGTTTCTTGTATCATTAAACGTCGTGTTGTTTTGTGTATTATTTGGTGTCCATATCTTATTTGTCCAGAGAAAAGAAAATTTTGGTTTGTTAATTGGTGGGTGCCCGCCACGATCTCATAAACTCTCAAATGTGCCCGTAGGCACAAAAAGGTTGGGGACCGCTGGCGTACACAATGACAACCTAAATCTGAAACATCAATTCTCCATTCATGCGAACAGAACTTTCTTTTTAAACTTTTATCTAAAATCCATTACACACATACCTCATCAGACGCTCTTACAAAATTTTATATCCGTACGTACGTGAAAGTCCGGTGTAGGAAAACATTCCTATTTGGGTCACAATGTGGTCCCATGTACCAGGTGTACCCAGCTTTTCTAGACGTTCTTTAAGTCCTTTTCTCATGTCCAGAATTCTTTTCGCCATAGTACGAACACTCTCCTTCCTGCAACATTAATGTCACAAAATACCGTCGTGATAATCAGCGGATAACCCGTTTAAAACTTCCGATCAGGAAGCGGTTCCGAGTCGCCTCCTTGCTTGACGTTCCTAACAAAAATTTAAATAAATTTGCCCGTTTCATTATTCCAGATTTAATCACCCTAACATCATCGAGTGCGCTTGTGCAACAGACACAGATACCTCGGAGATATTGCGGGTTTTGTCCCGGACCACCGCAATAAAGCGGGTCACATAATTTTTTTGGTATATTAAGTATGCAATAGCATTATGTCTAAAAAAAACATTGTGAGAATTACCAAAATGTGACAGACACGAAGTGAGCACATGCTGTTGGAAAAACGGCGCCAACAGACTTGCCCGATGCAGGGTCGCCACAAACCTTCAATTTGTAAAGAAACTCAATATTTGTGTAGCAAAATTGAAATAAAGCGAATCCGAACAGCTTTTTATGACGGCGATGTTGACGCAGATGTATCTACCTACCATTCTTCGAACAGCTGCGGGTTATTCAGAACGGTGGCCACGATTCTTCCTCCGTGATTTGGAGGATTTGAATACATTCCTCTTACAATAAGAGTAAGCTGAGACTTCATTGGTTGCAAATGGACAGCGTTATTCACGACCACCGTCAGATTACCGACACGTTCATCTATAACATATTATAACTAATATCACGCATGAGAAAACAAAAATAGAACACTTGTGTGTAAATGTTTAATGTTCATTTTTAGAGTAATAATAAAGCGTGTCCTTTAACCCTTAAAAGCTGAATGGTAATTATATGTACCAGCTGCATTAACGATCTGTAGCTGTGGGTTCTGAATTATTACCAGCCCAAACAGCATTAACGAGGTGATCTTTGCGGTACAGACTGAATTATTAATTATTATTTAGAGGAGCTTCAGCTATAAAGAACTAAAAATTCTTTTTTTTTTTCCGGTTTAACAATGTTTTCTATATTTTCCGGTACCCTTTACGGGTCCCCAACTTCTTAGTTGGCTTGATCTATGGACATTCGGTAGGACTCCTTGGACAAGGGATCGGCCCGTCGCAAGGCCTCTACCTGTACAACAGGACAGCACGACACAGAAAAACATCCATGGCTTGAGTGGGATTTGAACCCACGGTCCCAGCGACCAAGCGGCACAAGGCCCACGCCTCAGACGGCGCGGCCACTGCGGACCCCGAACTAAAAACTCTGAAATATATAAAATAAAACCGTATTAATCTGAAATTTAATGCCAGAACAATTTTAAATTATACTAGCGCTGTGATTAATGTTCAGTTTTAACTTATCAACTTGAAAAGTCTGTGACCAACTGACCAATTCCATGCAGCACGCTCTGCCTGAAGGCGTTCATATTCTCAACTATTAAGAAAATTCCTTCGCTTCTACACACCCTAAGGTTCATCATCACATGCACAAAATCCCACCATCAGACCTCTTTACTGAGGTAGATGAATCCAGTGTACGCATCCTCATCTGTATTTCTCTAAGATCCATTTTAAAATCATCCACCCATCTGCACCTACGTCTATTCCGAGTCAAAATTTGTTTGCATTTCTGATCTTCCCCATATTGCCACCTTATCTCAACCTCCTGCTTTAATCCTCCTAATATTTGACGAAGAGTATAAAAATGGAGCACCATAAAGATACATATCCCAAAGAGGTTATACTGAATAATGAAGGCCATTCAACCATCTCATCTTACTGATGCCCATCTTGATGATTGTTTTCAAGCAGCATCATCATCCTACACTCCCAAATTTGAAAAACTGGCCGATGAAATGCAGCGGCAAACATCACACTAACTTCCCACTTGAATAATAATAATTGTACTTATAAAACTACGTATTTTTGATTGCGTGGTTTCTTGTATCATTAAACGTCGTGTTGTTTTGTGTATTATTTGGTGTCCATATCTTATTTGTCCAGAGAAAAGAAAATTTGGGTTTGTTAATTGGTTGGTGCCCGCCACGATCTCATAAACTCTCAAATGTGCCCGTAGGCACAAAAAGGTTGGGGACCGCTGGCGTACACAATGACAACCTAAATCTGAAACATCAATTCTCCATTCATGCGAACAGAACTTTCTTTTTAAACTTTTATCTAAAATCCATTACACACATACCTCATCAGACGCTCTTACAAAATTTTATATCCGTACGTACGTGAAAGTCCGGTGTAGGAAAACATTCCTATTTGGGTCACAATGTGGTCCCATGTACCAGGTGTACCCAGCTTTTCTAGACGTTCTTTAAGTCCTTTTCTCATGTCCAGAATTCTTTTCGCCATAGTACGAACACTCTCCTTCCTGCAACATTAATGTCACAAAATACCGTCGTGATAATCAGCGGATAACCCGTTTAAAACTTCCGATCAGGAAGCGGTTCCGAGTCGCCTCCTTGCTTGACGTTCCTAACAAAAATTTAAATAAATTTGCCCGTTTCATTATTCCAGATTTAATCACCCTAACATCATCGAGTGCGCTTGTGCAACAGACACAGATACCTCGGAGATATTGCGGGTTTTGTCCCGGACCACCGCAATAAAGCGGGTCACATAATTTTTTTGGTATATTAAGTATGCAATAGCATTATGTCTAAAAAAAACATTGTGAGAATTACCAAAATGTGACAGACACGAAGTGAGCACATGCTGTTGGAAAAACGGCGCCAACAGACTTGCCCGATGCAGGGTCGCCACAAACCTTCAATTTGTAAAGAAACTCAATATTTGTGTAGCAAAATTGAAATAAAGCGAATCCGAACAGCTTTTTATGACGGCGATGTTGACGCAGATGTATCTACCTACCATTCTTCGAACAGCTGCGGGTTATTCAGAACGGTGGCCACGATTCTTCCTCCGTGATTTGGAGGATTTGAATACATTCCTCTTACAATAAGAGTAAGCTGAGACTTCATTGGTTGCAAATGGACAGCGTTATTCACGACCACCGTCAGATTACCGACACGTTCATCTATAACATATTATAACTAATATCACGCATGAGAAAACAAAAATAGAACACTTGTGTGTAAATGTTTAATGTTCATTTTTAGAGTAATAATAAAGCGTGTCCTTTAACCCTTAAAAGCTGAATGGTAATTATATGTACCAGCTGCATTAACGATCTGTAGCTGTGGGTTCTGAATTATTACCAGCCCAAACAGCATTAACGAGGTGATCTTTGCGGTACAGACTGAATTATTAATTATTATTTAGAGGAGCTTCAGCTATAAAGAACTAAAAATTCTTTTTTTTTTTCCGGTTTAACAATGTTTTCTATATTTTCCGGTACCCTTTACGGGTCCCCAACTTCTTAGTTGGCTTGATCTATGGACATTCGGTAGGACTCCTTGGACAAGGGATCGGCCCGTCGCAAGGCCTCTACCTGTACAACAGGACAGCACGACACAGAAAAACATCCATGGCTTGAGTGGGATTTGAACCCACGGTCCCAGCGACCAAGCGGCACAAGGCCCACGCCTCAGACGGCGCGGCCACTGCGGACCCCGAACTAAAAACTCTGAAATATATAAAATAAAACCGTATTAATCTGAAATTTAATGCCAGAACAATTTTAAATTATACTAGCGCTGTGATTAATGTTCAGTTTTAACTTATCAACTTGAAAAGTCTGTGACCAACTGACCAATTCCATGCAGCACGCTCTGCCTGAAGGCGTTCATATTCTCAACTATTAAGAAAATTCCTTCGCTTCTACACACCCTAAGGTTCATCATCACATGCACAAAATCCCACCATCAGACCTCTTTACTGAGGTAGATGAATCCAGTGTACGCATCCTCATCTGTATTTCTCTAAGATCCATTTTAAAATCATCCACCCATCTGCACCTACGTCTATTCCGAGTCAAAATTTGTTTGCATTTCTGATCTTCCCCATATTGCCACCTTATCTCAACCTCCTGCTTTAATCCTCCTAATATTTGACGAAGAGTATAAAAATGGAGCACCATAAAGATACATATCCCAATTTATATAAACACGTGCCCTATGACAACCATATTTAATTTTAAAGTTACAAGTCACATACTTAAAAAATGTTTCACGTTTCATAAACAAAAGACATTAACAAGAAATTCTTACTGTAGAGACCAAAATTCTTGGCAAAAGACTGAGCACAGACGAACTCAAAGCCTCTGTCGGCGAAGTAACGTACTGCCCAGGCATCCTTTTCAAGATCCCCAGAAGCGAAACCTTGATACGCAGAGTCGAAGAACGGGAAAAGCTGCTTTTCTTCTATGACGTCGGCTATCTGGGTCCACTGTTCGCTAGTTGGGTCACAGCCTGTTGGATTGTGCGCACATGCGTGCAGGATGATGACAGAGTCTTTAGGCGCTGCACGTAAATCTTCTAGGAAACCGTCCAGGTCCAATGAACGGGTCTCTGAATTCCAATAGCGATACTGACGCGGTTCCGCGAAGCCAGCATTTGTGAAGACTAGGTGGTGGTTCTCTGTTCACAAAAGAAATATGAACGTCTGACATCTGAAATCAAATCCCGGGAACCCCTGCCCTGTGCACATGTCGGGATAGTACAATAAAACAGCGACCATTAATATCTACTTACAGATCCTTCCATTAACTCTAAATTCTTTGTCATACTGCTGTCTCAATCAACGCGTAATAAATTTTATCGAGCAACGTAATTACCCCATGTTGGTGATGAGTAATAGAAAGTTGTGTACTTGAGCTGTCGATGAAGAAATTCGGCACCAACTCTTAAGGCGCCTGTGCCACTGAGAGTCTGAACACCAAATGCCTGCAAAAGAAATTATAATTGCCCAAAATTAAAAAAAAATCTTGTAACTGAATGTAACATTCTTGCCTTTCACATTATGATAATTTTTAGGTATTTTATGGTTTAATTTTACCAACATGACCAAGATAAATTTTCCTTGGCATGATGCTCGTGATTTGGGGTCAAGGAAGACCACTTCAGTTCATAATATGCCTGCGACTGATACTCTCTGTTTAGCTGCTGCTAAATGAACATTTATTTTAAAATCAGATGTCATAGCTGGCTCTTAAAGTCCCAATTTAATATGACAGAACAGAAATACACTCTAATAATTAATAAAATACAGTATATAAATGTTGATATTTTATAATTATTTTGGCAATAAGATATTCTTACTGCTTGAAATGCTAACCAGAGGCTGAAAGGGACCACTAAACAAAATATCAGGGAGCTTCGTTAAAGTTTCTATTGTAACTTCCCTCGGTATCTAACGAGTGAAAGATATTTACAGTGATACATCTTGAAAGAGATGAGTGATTACATTAATACAAGTTAATCATGACACTAATCTAATATCGCACTGAAGGAATTAATTTTACCAGCCCTTCCAGCAGTGCACGTGATTCAGCACCCAGCAGCATTCTAGTGGCTGCAGAGCTACATGCTTGCAAACCAAGAACAGGCAGGTATTCATGATTCAGGGCCTCGTCATCAGCCAGCTGTTTCTCGGTCTTGCGCACTACAGGCAAAACCCACGGCTTTCCCTCATCGGTCCTGTAAGCTAATGCAGTCAATATCAAAGAGGCATTTGTTGAGAAATAAATGAATAATTTCATTATTAAACAAAATTATATGCTGCAATGCTGTTATAAAGCCATGTGTATGCTGTCTCATGTTCTGAAGAGTCCTGAATAAGAGTATGCACTTTCCTACATATCTGCATTCCTGAAGACGACCATCAACATAAATGCAATATTATATTCTTTGTGTCATCCTCTCCACCCAGAAGGCTGCTACACACACAGTATCACACTCTTAAAGTCTTCTAACAGTATGCTAAAATCTCATATTTTTCTCTCTTAATACTTTCCGCACAATAATTTTATGTAGATAAGGGTGTGAAAATCGGCAGACCGCTTCTAAGAACCCTAGAATTTAAACCTAGCAGGCTCTTTAAATGTGAACAAAGTAATTCCATCAACTTTCCATTGATCCTATTTTTTGTTTAAATCACTGAACTAAGTGTGATGACCTCTTTGTTACTTCTACAGTAAAAAGGGGGCATTGGTGTGCACCTAAAAGAAAAACACAAAGTTTGAAGGTAAAGGGCCAATTAATCATACTATTCTACAAAAAGTGAGGTTGTGTTGGGTGAAAAAAAAAATCTTAATGATAGTGTAGTCATACTATTTCAGTGTTTGGAAGCATTTAACTTTTATGTGTTTAGACTTTGTGGGGCAAATGTCTGTACAATATCTAATACCAACACATGTTGAAAACGTTCTCAAAAACAGCGTGATTACATTTTAAAAATCGATTTAATTTACGAAAATATATAAGGAGGTCAAGCCATTAAATCTCCTCTTACATAACCTTACCTCCAACACTTAAATTTACTTTTTGGTCGAAAGTGTCTTTTAAATACTGTTCGTTCACAGCAAAGACTTCAATTGGGGGACCTACTTCGACCACACGAAATCTTGAAAGCATTTTTTGTATCGGAACTGCACAACTTCTATATTACTAACGTCCTCAGATCGCCCTTGGGGCAAAATGCTAATGAATGGAAGAGCACAGACTTTAAGAGATTCACTTGTTACCAACTTGGCATCTTTTAAATAATGTGAGAGAACCAGGAGTAACCAACATACGTAGTTCTCTGATGATTTGAACGTGTCACGACCATTACCTACATCCGCTTTATCTATGTATCATTATTATATTATTATTATATTAATTTGGCCTTCAAGCAGATGAAAATCAGAAGGTGAAAGGTCTGGACTCTGTGGTAGGTCGCCAAGGCTCTAAAATTTGTCTTTCGGAAAAGGAACAGCCTGCGACAATTTTCTTCCCCGTTTCTTTTTAGTTTGCTCTTGCGAATTTCAAACCCTTTCGCAACTTCCACACATGTTTGTATTTATTATAATCCATGGATCTGTAACTTGAAAGACCATAGGTTATGGAATGTCATATTGTTGCTCTTAGAAAGTTGCAGATAGTTAAGATAACTTATTGTTTAGGATATTATTCTCATTATTACAATGTTTTATAGTATGTGACATAATGACAGAAATTGTATCAAATGTACCAATACTATTTAAGACAGTCTCAATTTTAGGATGTCTCGTGTATAGTATGCCTATGTTGGTAACATGTGGAATTGAAACACATGGCCTTGGAAGTAGGTACCAATCCGTGCTTTGGAGGTTATGAAGTTTGTTAGTTCAAGGTCTAGGTTGTTATCGTTATGTAATACAGTTAATGTACCAAGTTTACATCTTTTGAGTGTAAATAACGTGGTATTTATCAAATTGTGAGTATGAGACCCATGAATAGTAGTATTATGTTTTGCTTTATAATTTAACCTAACCTAACATTTGGAGAGACGGGCATGGAGTTATTGCAATTCTTTTGTGTAAGTGGTAAGTTAGTTATAGCGGGTCATTGGGCAGTGGTATGTAGTTCGATGTGATGTGTGTATGTGATACGATATTCTTGGTTTCAGATGGCATTAGCTGTAACAAATGAACATTTGCAAGAGGATTGGCAATTGTCAAAAGAATGTGTGCGAGAAAGAATTCAGATACTTTTGAAGACTTCGCAGTGGAGTGACTGCACATTTAAAGTGGGAGGAAGCACTGACTTTGAGGTAAGACTTCATGAGTACCTTCTCAAGTTGATGCAATGAAATGAGACATAAGATTGAAACACTTTCTTTTAACACTTGTAAATGCAACTGAGCAGAATTTGATTCTTTGTTTTCCATACTCCTATTTGAATTATAAAAACTCTGAATCATAATATAAAGATGTTAAAGCCAGCATTGAAGAATATCTCTTGTCTCACTCCTTCTATTCCATAGAAGAATTACCAACACCAAAAATTCTCAGCTGTTATAATTACATGTATATTTACATTGTATCATTATGTATGCATATTGTTTTCACTGCTATCTTGTGGGACAAAGCAGTCGTGGCATAATTTAAAACACTGTCCTGGCTGAGGACTGAGTAAAACAACCATAATAATTGAGTAGCCTCTCTGCAGGCCAGGATTTAAACCAGAGACCCACTGAACATGATTCAGGAGTCCTGACTACATGACCACAACATTTGGTGGCTTCTATAAAAATAAATGTCAGGGTTATAATCAAGGAAGAAGCTTTAGGGATAACATTTTTTTTCCATATGAAATAACATGTAAAACTACACCTGATATAATATTTCTGCAGCTTTAGAAGATACATTAATAAATAAACCCCAATAGCACCAGGTACTGTAATTATTAAAAAGTAAAAGCCATCCCACTATATGCCATGTAGGCACTTGGGGGGAGAGGAAGTATAGCTTCTACTCATTCTTGACCTCAGCACTAGATGGGGGTGAGTGGTCAGCACCCCGCCCCGGCCGGCTTTACCCCCGGGAAAGGACCCCGTTACCCATTGGATAGGAGGCTGAGTGGGTCCCAGAACTGGGGTTGGACATTGAGGCTAGAAGGAAAGTTCTCTGTCTCATATTAATCGCCCTGATGATGGAGGCAGTATGACCTCTGAAACGTTGTTTAACATCGACCAGACTACACAGCGCAACAACCAAGAAGACAGAAATCCTACTCTGTCCCCATCAGGGATCAAATCCCAGTGGTCCAGTCCATAGTCAGTCACTATAAGAGTTGGGGTTCAAGTAATATTTTTTTGAAGGTGTGCGTTGCATAGTGGTTTCATGTGACACGTTTTTCTTTATGCTTCTTCGTAGAGGGTGGTATTCATTATCATCTGTTTATATTCTTTGTTATATAGTACGGATACAGTATGTTTATCAACATTTTAAGGTCTGTTTATGTCTGATACTGTATTATATGTATTAAAAAAGAAATTAAGTGGACAGAACTAGTTGAGATAACATATTACATCGAACGCATAATTTTGAAACGTAACATTTCACTGAAGTTCGTAATGTGTGTTAATGTTGATTTTATAGATATTCAAAGCTCATAAGTTGATCCTGGCATCTTGCAGTCCTGTATTCGAGGCAATGTGCTTTGGTCCACTTGCCGAGAAACAGTGTATCAATGTCAGTGATGTGGAGCCTGATGTGTTCAGAAATTTACTGGAGTAAGTAACGGCTACATGTGTGGCTAAGTTCATTGTGTTCCATTCCGCAAAGGGTGGGTAATTTCTTGACAAACTGAGCAGCTGGCATTTTTCAGTAAAGACCCTGGAGAATAGTTTGTGTTTTTTTTTTATTTTTGCGGTCTTCCAGTGTATTGTCAGGGATGAAGTGTGTTGTCGGTAAAAATTATTCATTCAGTATAGTTGTGTTTTGACAGTTCTAGAATTGCAGTATCCAAAGTCAGAAGTCTGTATTAGCATGCATATTTTGCATAATGGTAAATAATTTAGTTGTATAACCTTTTATTCATAGTTTTGGGTAGTTTTATTCACATTAAGATATTTAATAAATGTGACATCACCGCCTTTTCACAGAATTTCTTATAAACTCTTACGACATGTTTTTTTAATTGTGTACATTTGTTCTCATGTAATTTCACAGTTGACATTTATATTACAAAGTTTTTGGAAATATGTGACCATTTATGAAGTTATTATACTGAACTATCCAATTATATAATGTGTAACAAAGATCAGAATAGTTGTCTTGGATATGTGGCTAACTTCATTATTTATGCTGTCATAAAATTATATTTTACTTTATTTATTATGGTACTTGTGGGTTATTGTGACACATCACTTTAAAAATAGGTTAGGTTAGGTTAGGTTAGGCTAGGCTAGGTTATGTTAGGTTAGGTTATACTAGGTTAGTTGTCATTTATTGAAATAAAATATAATAACTTTCAAGTATATGTCATTTATCCACACACATTAACCTAACCGAACCTATTTTTAAAGCGATGTGTCCCGATAACCCACAAGTACCTTTATTATATTATATAAAATTATGTTCTTGTACAGGTACATATATACCGATTCCATAAATTTGTCTTCAGTTGAAGATGCCAGTGGAGTCCTATATGCATCAAAGAAATATATGTTGCCTCATTTATCACAGTTGTGTCACGAGTATCTTCTGAGTAATCTCCGTCCAAGTAACGCTCTAGCGATATTTGAATTTGGGAAAGGAATTCAAGAAGCTGAATTAATGAAGGCTTGCATGGATGTAAGTTAATATTAAATAACTCTTTCCTTCTCCAAAACTTATTCAGTTTATGCAAGTGATAGTTGTAAGTTCGGAAAGTTCCTGAACAGTTTCAGCGAGCTTTATTACAAAATGTACTCGCAGATCTACACAAATTTCCTGCCGGACACAGATATTTGTCATGAGGCAGAGTTTTGGATTATTTGTTCACACTGCACTCAGAAATGTTATTTAGGGTTGACGTCCCTTCCACTTTTCTTTACATATGTGTGTGACGCTGTGTGGCTCCAGATATTAGAATATTTGGAAGAAATGTTCACAAATGTGGTTTCATGTAGAAAATACCAACATTTTGAGAACCAGCTTTATCCTCATAACATAAAACCCACTTTATGGATGTTCATCTGTTCGTGCTTTGTCTGCTGAAGCTTTTGTTAGATTTTGATAAAGTTGGGTAGAGGGAGTTATGAATTTTGGCTGTTTCGGACACTTAACTCGAAGATACTGCTTTTTCTCATTACATATACCCCAAAGCTGGAAAGATGTACTACATTTGAATAGCTGTTTTTTTATGTGAAATAATATTTTATCTTATTTAAAAAAAAATAGTTTGTCATACCTCAAACTGAATATAGTATAGGCTAAATATATGTTATGTATCATTGCCTGGAATAGATTGTGACTTGCTCGATGCAGTGGGAACAACCTGTTGCATAAGACGAAAGATTTCTCTCATGCTTTTGTGCGACGTTAAGAGACTTACTCTGTTATGAAATGGGGATCATGGGTTTACCATTAAGTCTCATTTAAATAAAGCAACATTACTTAAAATAAGCATTATGCAGTAAATTCTTGCCCGCCATGTTTGTCCAACATGAATTTGCTTATCCACCCAAATTACTCGTTGAATCTGGAAAATGTTAATGCATACAGTCAAATAATTAAGCCCTCAGCCTCAAAATGTGTCATTGTCTTTTAAACATCTTCATTACCATCTTCAAGAGAAATTGTCATCGTTCGTAGGCATAAAACTTTGTAAAAAATTATGTTTAACACTTTTCTGTTTTACGTATGTAAATATCGTAATGTTTTTACCTGGATAATAATAGTCATAAAAAGTTCTCTCTCGTCTTCTTCTGTTTCTTGACCATTGCTTTGGTATTCTGGTGTCTAATGATTTCTTCTATTCTTCTCTATTTTCCCATCCGTCCAGAGGTAGTTTCCACTTTATCATGGTTCTTATTTATGGATTTTCTATATTTATAATATTATATTATTTGAACATATTTTCTTGATTCTAGACTGAATCTTGGTTTGATCTTACCAGGTAATGTGCAAGTACACAGAAGAAGTTTTACAAGCTCCATGTTACCACATTTTACCCACGACCCTCGCCTCATTATTGGATCAGAGAGCACTAAATATGAGTGAATTTGAACTTTTCGAGGCAGTTTTGCATTGGGCAGAAGCAGAATGTGAACAGCTTGGGTTAGAACCAACAGGTGCCAATTGTCGGGCGGTACTGACAGAAGCAGGAATCCTATCAAAAATACGCTTTCTGGTACTTTCACAGCAGCAGTTTGCTGAAGGCCCAGAATCTTCTGGAATTTTAACGTCAGAAGAAATTTTTGCGCTGAAATATGTTATTTCAGACATTGAGAATAATGGAAATGATTCATATGGAAGAAATGAATCTTTGTCTAATATCGTGTATTGTAATAATCCTGATACTAGCGTATCTCATATTTCTAAATCTGATGATACTACTGCTGGCGATAATCCATCAAAGAACGAACCAGAGCCTAATACCAAAGTCTCACGACACATGTCGCTTCCTAATGGAATGAGCTGCTCTCTTTATCCTCGGAGTCGCATCTTCATTAAACAATTCTACTGTGCAAGACAATTTCTCAAGACAGCTGTTACAGTGTCTGGAAGACTGAGGCTTTTAACGAAGGTGCAAACTGACAGGAGTGTCATGGTGCATGGGATTCGAATATTTACACGACTCATACCCCAACGAGAATTTACTTATGCTCCCGCGCTCCCTCGTGACTATCAAGAAAACATGGAGGTATGTGTTTTGGATTACCAGGGAGCTCTCCTGTGTCAAACTGTGTACACTGATATTGTAGAGTATAATACGTTGGCTACCGTGACCTTGAGTGAACCGGTGCGGTTTATTAGTGGTAGGGAATATAGTATTCTGCTTGTACTGCCATGTAATGGTGGCTGTACACATGAATATCCATTGAGTTTCATGTCTCAGACTGAGAAAACGCACGGTATTGAGTTTCGATTCTGTGATCACGCTGACGTTAATGGTACCGGTGCATTTGTTCGACGTTTAGATAAGGGATTTGTAGATGGTGTTGTATTTTCTATGTAAATTACATGAAGGATTTATCTTCTGGCTTTTCAAAACTGAAAATTGGAGTTATAAATACAAACGTCATAATGCGTACAGAAAGAAGTCAGGAGACCTTGAAAGTATACTCATTTTCCAGATTTTGCACGAGACAAACTAGCTTTCGTTGACTTTGTTATTGGCAAAATTAAAAATAAAATAGAGTTTAAGAGTAGAGTGGCTGATTTTGAGCACTCATTTTTGTCAGTATCCTATGAATATTACTGGTCTGGACAACGTGGGTCGACGCACACCTGACATTTAAAAATGGTGTGACTCAACCCATGTTTTGTCCAGGTTATATGTTCGTCTTTTGTGCTATCTTCAGCTTGTGGTGTCTTTCATCTCCGGCCAGTCAAACCGGTCGACAGAAGCCTCTGCTTGGTCCTTTCTTCTTTCCAGCAAGTATAATTCTTCATTCAGATAGTTCCCTTTTTCTCGTCTTGTATTCTTAATGGTACGTTATGGCACCTTGCAGTGATGTGCTGCCATTTTAATTGCCTTTCTCAATGCAAGAATCAAAGTTTTTTCGGATGCCTCTTTATCGCAGCATTGGACAATTAGGCTGTCTTTTATCATTTCTTGTTAGAAACAGTACCACGTTTTTTCTGAACTTCTGACATAACTGGAACAATCTGCAGAACATTAAACTTTAACAACGCTAAATGAACAATAACACGCTAACAGTAGACTTCCGAGCACATGTGAAAACCGAGGAAGCAGACGAGTAGGGCCTGATGTTTACACTTATTAGAATACTCACTGTGCATACACAGAATCTCACTTCAAATTGAATTTCACTGCGCCGAGTCCGAAGATGGCTGTTTTCTGGGTTGTAGTGCCATGTAGTCTGGTAGAAAGTTTTCTTCAGCACTATCAACTTACAACCTCAGTCCTTGTGATTTTTTTTTGAACCCTTAGAACTCTGTAGTTATGAGACTAGACCTAGAAATTTCTTGTAAAATATGTGGACTTCATTGTGTTAGATACAAAGTTACATTTTTAAAATACTTTTTTTTTTCTTTTCTTTTTTTTTCCTAGTTTGTTTATGCAGACATCGACTATGTCTGATGAGAAGGTTAACAAAGTGATTGACTTGAATTTGGGAGGTATCCAGTTTAGATCTTGATGTGTTATTGCCTATCCTGTGAGTTTTCTCAGTCCATTTACGAGAAGTCAGGGTAAATTATTAATTTTAATAAGCCACAAGTGGTCCCTGCCTTGCTCCATATTTATTTATCATAATCACACCACATCTCATGTTTTTATGTATCTCAACAGTTGATCCACCAACCATCTCTTAACTTGGTCCATGAACACACACACGGTAACATAATTCATACTCTTCTTAACATAATTTAATTATATGCCATTGTTTGTAATACAATTGTGAATATATGGTTAACAACATGACTCGGCCATTATCGGCCAATCCCAGGTATTTTGAACCCATTCTAGAAGTAATTAATGTATCGTACGCAAAACATGGCGTCGTATGATATAATGTAAATTCATTTCATTGTTTCAATTTTTTTTAATATATAATTTTAAGGACCTGAAGTGAAGTGATCCAATCTCTCTGGATACAAGGTCTTAAAAAGGTATTGCAGTGAGCACAGTATTTTCAGGTATATCTTTTGGGCTGTGCCCAGTGCGTGATATTTTGATTCAAATTAGAAATCGCCTATCATCGTCATACGTTTCTCTTGTATGTGCAAATATTTCATTGTGTGATTCATGAGATACAGAAATTTGGCCAAGTTTAGGAATCATAATTTTGTTAATATTGGCCTTTATGATTTTCTTCTCTAGATTGTTTGTTGTGTTTCTTTTTTGTGTACCCTGTGGTATTATACCAACAGTAATTTACATGTTGAAGTCCTCTAGTCCAATTTTGGACAGCTACTCTACAGTCTAGTTTATCTGAATGTGTTTTTGTTTTATGTGATAACATTATAAGTCTATAAATATCTCTGTTACCAGTCACATAATAAAGATGTGATAATAAAATATTATTTTTATTACCCAATTATCCGTGGTTTTCCTCATAAACAATAGTCTTATTTTAAAACTATAATGAAATGTCTTTGTGAACTATTCTTAATTAATACTGAGCTATCCAGTCTTATTGTGTCACTCACTTATTAGAAATGTTTTTGTAACACTTCTGCATTCTTACAACTTATTAGAAATGATTTCGTAACATTTCTGCATTCTTACAACTTATTAGAAATGATTTCGTAACATTTCTGCATTCTTACAACTTATTAGAAATGATTTCGTAACATTTCTGCATTCTTACAACTTATTAGAAATGATTTCGTAACATTTCTGCATTCTTACAACTTATTAGAAATGATTTCGTAACATTTCTGCATTCTTACAACTTATTAGAAATGATTTCGTAACATTTCTGCATTCTTACAACTTATTAGAAATGATTTCGTAACATTTCTGCATTCTTACAACTTATTAGAAATGATTTCGTAACATTTCTGCATTCTTACAACTTATTAGAAATGATTTCGTAACATTTCTGCATTCTTACAACTTATTAGAAATGATTTCGTAACATTTCTGCATTCTTACAACTTATTAGAAATGATTTCGTAACATTTCTGCATTCTTACAACTTATTAGAAATGATTTCGTAACATTTCTGCATTCTTACAACTTATTAGAAATGATTTCGTAACATTTCTGCATTCTTACAACTTATTAGAAATGATTTCGTAACATTTCTGCATTCTTACAACTTATTAGAAATGATTTTGTAACATTTCTGCATTCTTACAACTTATTAGAAATGATTTCGTAACATTTCTGCATTCTTACAACTTATTAGAAATGATTTCGTAACATTTCTGCATTCTTACAACTTATTAGAAATGATTTCGTAACACTTCTGCATTCTTACAACTTATTAGAAATGATTTCGTAACATTTCTGCATTCTTACAACTTATTAGAAATGATTTCGTAACACTTCTGCATTCTTACAACTTGTAAGAAACTGATCCTTATGACTTTTCCCCACAAATTTCTGAATCGCAATATAATTATTGATGTTGACAAACTTCAGTAAACGGGAGAGGCATGTTTGAATAGAAAAATTTATGTTAGGTTTAAATATTAAAATATTTATTTAATCATTAATTTATAAAATACATAAACTTGTGTATTTGTTATGGGTTGCAGGAATATTCACATAAGGACAGGATCTAAGAGGAGAAGGAGACCAGATTTCCAAGCCGCTAGGGTTGGGTTTTGTTAGTGTTAGATTTTAGAGACGGATGCCGGGGTTTCGGGAACGCACAAAGTTGAGCAGTTCATCGCTGTCCTCACAAACGAAGGGTTTCAGGTGGTGACAGGCAACATCATGCCATTTAATGCCATCGTTATAGAAGTTGTTCAGAATGGACAAGCAAGATTCATCATTACCCTGAAAAATACACATAAGTTCTAATTAATATTATATTATTTTATAAAATTATTGTTCCTAATTCGGCCGTAAAGAAACTTAAGTTATGAAATTATTTATCTAGTTTTCAAATAGGCTTAATTTTCGTATTTTTTTAGTATAGTTTATACCTAGGAAATTATGGTTCGTCATTATAAGAACAGTTTCTGGACAGTTAGATTATTTTTTTACGAGATGCTTTTGGAATATTCATATAATGTATTTGCCCAAGTGACCTTGTCCAAAACTTACATCCTGAACCTAAAATTTTCATTGCATATGACAGAATTTAATACTATCTTATTAAATTGTTTTCTATCTATGGATTTTGTAAGTCCCCTCTGCACTTGGTTTGCCCGGAGGGTATTGGATATTTAATTGTCCTTCGGAAAAACTGAAAACCCAACAAAATTCTTGCGAATGAAATTGTCTTCTTTAATTAATTTGCTCGCCCATGATTTAGAAGATGTTACAGATTGAATTTTCTCATTTTAATTTTAATTTTAATTTAATTATTTGTTTGGTATTTGTAAGAATTAACTAATTGGGCATCAGCGTGTGTCATATCTTCTGCGTTGTAGTTTCCCAACGATTCAGAGATGCTGTCTCCATCATCATGAGTTACTTATCACCTTGAAGTTCTACAACTCAGAAGACGGCAATCTTAATTCCTCTAATCCAATTTTTCCCCCCTACCTGGGGAGCCTCTCTGTTGTCGGGCTGGGGCTGGCCGAATCCACCTGTGGCGCTCCAGTCCCCGGAGTTGCGCTGGGTTGTGGGTCCAATCTTGGCACCCGAACCAGACCAGAACCAACCATTCACATTAGGAGGCTGCAGGTCGGGACGGTTGCATCCGTTGAAGTTACACTTGCGTCCGGATGTCCAGATGTATCGAACGTTACCTGTAATTGACACTCGCGAGTCATTCAGGCCATATTTGTCCAAGAACTTCAAACATAGAGGAACTTCCTTGGTACTACCCAATGACTTTCATTCCATCTAATATTAAGTTGTGACTTCTATGGGGTGAAATGGGTAGTTGTGGTGTTAATTTGGTGCAGCAATTGAAACATTCCTCCTTTCCTAACTTCTTTTGGTTTCATTAGTACTCTCAATTATAAATTAGGCCGTGAAACGTGTAATTAATATATTTTACGATATTGTCACCTCTGGAGATTCTTTGTTTGATGAACTCGTTCTCCTGGGGGGTTTCCAAGGAGACTGCGTCCATACAGTGACGTCTGCAAATGTTCCTAGCGTCTAGCCAGTCTACTTCCAGACTCCGGGTTGGTCCATGTTCCCAACTGAAGAAGTAAGTGTGTGCTACTCCTCTGGCGTCTCTGTAAGTTGAATGTCGGACCCCTGTGTGCGACAAGTAACTGTTTTATAAACTTTGCCACAACGTTCGTTTGCCAGACCATTTATTATTCTATGTACAGCAGATGCTGAGAATCAGAACACCCTGTATATATGATTGAAACAAGTTTGTGATATTGGGGAATTATGAAAGATCGTTGTGCCGTTTGAATTTTGATTCAGATCAGATAGTTTTAACCACTATTTCATTCATGTATATAAAAACACACAAAATAAGAAAATATCGATTGACTTTAGACTGCATTGAAATCAGATATGTTTTATTCTGTTAATTTTGTTTTCTACGATATGAATTCAAAACATGAATTAAACAAATAATACGTGATTTTCTTTTGATGTGTGTAATAACAGTGAAGTTTTATTATTGAGTATTTATTTATTTTCTGTACGGTTTTGACTTCCCAAAAAAAGGCTTGTCGTTTAAAAAACGGCAAACACAACGAATTTCACTCGTTAAATACAACCCAGGAACAAATATTGATTTTTACTATTTGGAAAGTTAGTCACAAGATGTCCAAATACGCGTTATATAAATGATAAACAGAGAGAGAGAGAGTTTGTCCTAAGAAAATTATTTCTCAGTTTCGGGAAGACAGCAATTTTCGAAATAACTTTGCCTTCGAAAATATATTACATATAGACAATCTCATGTTATGAAAAAAGTTAATTTCAAAACAACTCAAGATTGCTTAACGACGCACTATAACAATGTTTTAGACTACCCGTTGAATTTCATGTGCAATTGTTAGCATCGTTTATAATTCCGTCTGCAATCGAAATCTGTTTAGTGTTGACTGAATTTGCAGTGTTGTTCTTAGCAAATGCTCTTCTACCGTTTGATTTAATGGCGTAGAGGTTAATATTTCTGTTGAGCATTTTTTTTACAATTTTATGTTCAGTAGGATCTGAGGTTTTCAAGGCGGAGAGTCCGAAGATGGATGTCTTCTGGGTTGAAGCAGCGTGTAGTCTGGTAGAAGTCTACCGAGTAACTCATCGCCCTGATGATGGAGGCAACAAAGACCTCTGAAACGTTGATAAACTTCTTCCAGACTACACGGTGCAACAGCCCAGAAAGTCAGCCATCTTCATTTCATATTTTAGTAATCCACGTGGGATATTATTTGCTGCTATGTTGGCAATAATAAAGAAATCAGCATGAAAATTGCCCAAGGCTTCGACATATTGTCCCACTTTGCCCTGTTTGCTCACATATTTCCTCATGCTATAGTTGGGTAACGTGTTTAGGGGTTTTCATTACGTACTGTTGGCACAACTGCGGGGGTCTGGCAGCGCAAGTCGGCGTTGAGCCATGACCATCGCGACTCCTATGACGAGGAGCGTTAACTGTCGAAGCATGATGTCAGTGGTAGCAAATGTCCTCCTGAAAATAATAAAATAGTTGATTGCAGTTCATACGTAGTTGGAAATTTACAACATGCAGAGATAGGAAACGTGGTTATTTTTTTTCTGTGTTGGTAGCACGAATGTATGGCCCCGTTTACCGCAACGTTAAATGTAAAATGGTGTTATTCCTTTTCTTTAAAAATGGTAAAAAAAAATATTCAACAGCAATGCAAGACTTGTTTTCTACTGTATGGAGCTTTTTGAACTTTGTTTGTGACGTTTCACATCACGGAGGAATATAAAATGGCATTCTTCCATCGTCAAGCATTCACTCAGTACCAACGTTATTGTAGACCTTAATATTATTACCCCATTTTTACATTCTTGGGAAGTATGCTTTTTTAATGAGGGTTATTTTAGGCTGTTAAGTTGCTACATCGGTATACTGTTAAGCAAAACAAAAAAACAAAACAAAAACAGAAGAATTGTACTTTTAGTTTCTTAATTGATCCCCAGGAGTGCTTTAAGAAGTTGTGTTATTTATTATCTGAGTTTGAAAGTTTGTTAAATCTGATTCAAATAATTATTTTGTATTAGTGATCGTAGTGACACTGGTCTGTGGAGCTGTAAGAAAGTGAGGAGTATAGGAGAAACATTTAGGTAAGCACAACATAACCATTTTCATCACTGCTTCATTATTGGGACAATGGCATAATGTAGTTGCTTCAGTATTGCTGTACATTTTGAGGTTATGATGTTCTCAGTTTCGTATTTATGATTCCTTTACTATAAAAAGTAAAAATATAAACTTCTGTTATGAATTTAAACAATTCCAAATTCAATATTTCTACCAAATTTGAGGTGCAAACTGATGCAACTTGTATTCCAATTGCCAAGAATAAAAAAATTAAGAAAATGTAGATGATATTAAAGTAGATACAGATCCAGCTGACACATATGAGGTTACAGATATCACAAGCTTTCTGATTATGTTATATTGGGAATAATCCGCACATGTATAAGTGCCATTAGTTTAAAAATCAGTGTCTAATTTCCATCAGGGAAATAAAATGATTTGTTTACCTAAGTGATAACTAAAAGACGTACAAAGTGAGGCTATTATTTCAAACACTGCTGTAAATAATATTAGAATGATCTGTGTCAGAACGTAAACCTATGTGTGTAATTAGAAGATATTATCTTCGCTATACAAACATAATTTTGACATGTAGAGTTTATTCGGAAAGATTATTTTCATACCCCAGTAAATTCGCTGCGTCACAGGTGTAAGTGGATTTCCGCGTCATCAGACCCTTTGTTGAAAAGGTGATTTGAAAGCGACCATGAGTAAATGTTACATCCCACGTTATTACGTAGTTATTAAACTCTGATGTTAAAGAGTTGAGATACACGTACGCCGATTTGCCTTATAGGTTAAAATAGAAAAAGTTATACGTCATTAAAAGGTTTTACTGTGATTAACAAAAAGTTTTGCCTCAGGCAAAGAATGTTTTCAAACCAGAAGCTGTCTGCTTACAGACTTTATAAACATCGCTGAGCAATTTATGTATGACTTGAGTTCTCTGGCATGCGGAAGGTGGAACGAGGCAGAGATTGGAACTGTGTTAACATGCACAGTAGAATAACAATTTGTACTTTTGAATGTAACAATGGAAAGACTGTCCAGCGCCTCGTTATCCAACTAGATTTCTCAACGTCTATTTACAGCTGTTACACTTGCTTATAATTGTCGTTTTGTACGCTTCATTGTCGCCAACCTCAGAATTGTTTTCATGAAAAATACCGCAATTGATAATACAAAACCCTTATGGTAAGTTCGGGGTTAGGAAAACCGTGGTCGCTTGTTGAACAGATGATTGATTCTTTCTCTGGTTACTCAACGATGCGTATTTGAGTTATGGCTGCTGAACTGGAAAGGATTTGAAAGGAGCCGTTTTATGACATGTCTTAAGTAGCTGAGAGACAGCTCAAAGGAAACGCTGTCATTAGGCCCATAGCCGAATCTCCGGTCGACATTCAAATTCAGGAAGAAAGGGTTAGAATCATAGACTGAAACTTTCGCTAATCAGACTTGGTGATGAATTGTTAAGCTTGGCGAGATTTCATGTTCTTACAGCGTCGGTGACTGCCCTTCCTGGCTATAATTTGTGGCGTACCCGGGAGTAGGTCACAAAGCCGGAACCAAAGAGAAATCTTTACGAGAATGATGCAGATTATTATAATTTACAGGTGACATTTCTTTTACAGGTGCCTGTGTTACAAGAAACATACTCCCTGTTCATAATCACCTTCCTATCACTCGCCAAACCTACACGGAACACTGCGATCGACTGATTATTACTTATTCGTAATCTGTAAATCCCAGGTACAAATCTCTGCCCTGATACCGGGTTCCCCCCCCCCCGGTTTTCCTTAATATCTACAGTCACGTGTTGGGTTAGTACTTTAAAGTAGGTCTCGACCACTTCATTCCGCACCTTTTTCAATACGATATTCGTAAATCACATTAGCATCTGTCTTAAATGTTAAGTGAAGATATAATTGATGTCTTCTGTATCTTGTGCAGTGGAAACAGTGTCGTTAAATAATCTAATAATTGATTAAGGGTCGCCTGAAATATTTCAAGCAATTTGAAGGATCCGTGCGTTTTGTAAAATATTTTTCCGCTGTAGAAAGACCACTTCAGGCGAAGAGGTAGGCAAGCCGCTAGACACTCGTCCAGGTGTGGCTCGACGTGTAGACGATAAAACGTAGTCGGTTTTACTGTCGAGGACTTCGCCCAGGTCCGTTACCTGTTTATGAAGTCTCGACTCGTTTCGTCCTCATTATGACGAATGTCAAGGACTTGCTTGTTGTCGTTCGGATGCATTGCCCTGTGTCTCTGTCCTTGACTGTGACATGCGAAGGAGACCAGTCTCGTGTCTTAACGCCTGGCTTCGAATTCTGACAAGTTCTCCACCTTGTGCGTGGTTTTCCTAGACCACGGCCTTGCCCAACACAAGTTATAAATTCGGGCCCCGCCGGGAATCGAACCCGAGACCCCCAGGATTACAAGGCCAGCGTTCTAACCGCTAGACCACCTCATCTTATTATTATTTAGTGTTCTGTCTGTTGGCGACATTATGAACAGGATCCTTCCCTCCTTTTCTCGGCCTGGGACCTGTTCATATACGTTCTTGGCAGATGCTCCAGAAGTGGTTTGCCATTGCCTTCTTCTGTGTGTGAATGGAGTAATTGTTGGGATGTCACGGAGAAACCGGGGAAGCCCCCGGAGGAAAACTCCGTGTTGCCTAGACCACGGCCTTGCCCAACACAAGTTATAAATTCGGGCACCGCCGGGAATCGAACCCGAGACCCCCCCAGGATTACAAGGCCAGCGTTCTAACCGCTAGACGAAAATGCGACGTATCATATTAAACAAGTGAATGTAGTTAAAACTTCAAATTTTATGAGAAGTATTGACGTCATGTCGTTTAGAGAAGAGATGTTGAAACAAGGCCTACGGCGTTTTAGCTGGTCAAAGTTTTGTCATCACCGCTGTTTTATCCCAATTGAATTAATTTTGGCAACGGTCTAGAGTTGGGTTTGTCTTAAAAATTTGACCTTCAAGTAAAATGACGTCTTTAAAGTCACTGATAAACGCTTTGATGTTATCACGAATGAGACAGGAAAGGAAACTGTGCATATTTGCAGAATGTTGAACACGAGCTTCGAAGGTGCTTTGGATTAAGGACTTGGAATTATAATACGTGTGCCTGTAGTGAAAATGACAGTGGTTCAGATACCGGTGATGAGACGGATGATATTAAAATGTATCTTCTACCTTCGATACCCGACGTGAATCTTATATCATGTTCGAATTTCATAGAGCTCGCAGGATGTACCAAGAGAGGTTCTCAAGTACGCCATGAGATTAATGACTTTTGGTGTCACAGGACACGTGATTCTTACGGTTTTATTACCAATTAATTCCTCGTAGCGGAAAACTTTCTTTGTTAGCGATTACAAACGATGTGACTTACGTATTGTACGTATAATCGTTCGATTTGTGTGAGAAGGTTTCATAAAACCGGTAGCGTGAGTTTCTAGTGACATTTGACTACAGAGAAGATAAATATTTAAGAGGTTTGAACAGGCTGATTCTGTGATTGTAAGTGGGGACCTTGTTTGGCAGAAGTCTGTGAGAGCGTTGCTCGCGAGCAGGAAGTCCTCAAAGGCTTTCTCAACATCTGGGTTTAAAACAACGACCAACTTTAACCGTTGTTGGACAAACATAACAAAGGTCAGGTGTAACAATTCCTGACCAATGTTGAGAAATATACGAGAGTCGACATTTGTTATTCATTTCGATTATATCTCGAAGGCAAGCAAATAGTTTAAGGTTTTCATGCGTCATGTTTGTGTTTTTGATTAAAATATATATAATAAAATTCAGGTCAATACACAAAACTATATTTGGATGTTAAAATTTAAAATTTTAAACACATTTCAATTTTAAATTTTAACATCCAAATATAGTTTTGTGTATTGAACTGAATTTTATTATATATATTTTAAGCAAATAGTTGTTCATTACATTTGTTTTATAGACAAAGCTACCTTCCACGTAAACGGGTACCACGATAAACACAATATGAGTGTACTAGAAAATTTCCCGTTGAGGATGACGGGAAAATCTCAGTTGGTACTTAAAAGAAAAGTTTATTTTATAGTATAACAAAGCATGTAGGATTTGACGTTTTCACGGTGGTGAGTCCGAAGATGGCTGCCTTCTGGGTTGTAGCTCCGCGTAGTCTGGTAGAAGTTCACCGACGTTTCAGAGGTCCTTGCTGCCTCCATCATCAGGGAAATTAAAACCTTCTACCAGACTGCTCGGCGCTGTAACCCAGAGGACAACGATCTTCCTTCAAGACCGCTTTGTTTGATGGTAGAAACGTTTTTATCCAGCAAAATGGGGCAAGACCACATACGGCGAACTCTTCATTTTCTGATCGAACACTTTCTCTGATCGATATCCTAGTCGATTTTCGATGAATGTGAATTTGTGTAATATTCTCTTATAGGGATTCCTGAAGGTCAATGCGCAAGGAACAGTCCACAGGCTATATTGAAGAGCTGAAGGCAGTGATCATTGCTGCTGGGTACAGCATCGCTTAACAAACACTGGCAACATGTAAGTCCACACCCTTACATCTTGTTTCATTAATCTTCTTCAGTTATTCCAATTCTCTCCTTTTTTTACAATTATGAATAACCAAACGGGATTAGTGAGAAGTTCTTTTGGGATATTTTAAGGCCAAAGGCAGGGGTCACGAGGTCATCTTGGAGCCGGAATACAACGCGCTTTAACGGAGCTCTCAGGTGATCTGAAAGCCTGGAGTTCGTAGTCGTCCGGGACCTTAAAATCCACCACAACAGGAGTGTATACTTTGGGTTGTTTGCTTTACAGTAATGGCGTGGAGTTAAAAGTTGCAAGACCCAATCATATAGCTCGTGCTTAGGAACGCGTTCGTGATTGAAGTTGGCTGTATTCTGAATTGCGTTAGTCGGTGGCCCTGTTTCTGTGTGATTAATGCTGACAGTTCGTGCCGTGAACTTTTGGTCATCTGCCTCCATATTTAGTCGTGAGTGAAAGCATACGGGTGGTTTGAAATGAAACCCAGTTCAGTGAGAGGGACTGAGGAGACGTATTACCGCGGAATTCAGTGAGAGGGACTGAGGAGACGTATATTACCGCGGAGAAGCAGTCTTTCTAAAGACAAGCGCGGAAATGTGCTCGGGGACTACTTTAAATGGTCAATATCGAATCGTTTCATGAGTTGTTCATTTTTTTCATTGTTTCTAGCCTGGGTTCAGACTTTGGCACGAAAAGAAGGGCTATATTTTATTCGTTTTCATTTAATTTCCAAGATAATTATATATTATTTTATTTTAATCTGCACCAGAATCGGTTTTGCAATTTCTAATGCGGATGCATTTTTATTTATCACCTCCTCTTACTTTTTAAATTAACTTGTAATAGGCGAGATTTCAGGTTCTCACAGCTGTAAATGAACATATGGCTGTCTTCTGGGTTGTAGAGCCGTGAAGCATGGGAGACGTTTACTGACGTTTCAGAGGTACTTCAGTCTTCTCCCTGATGATGGAGGCAACAAGGAACTCCGAAACGTTGGTAAACTTCTACCAGACTACGCGGTGCTACAACCCAGATGACAGCCATCTTTATGTTACAATGAAGTAAGAGGCTGGAGAATATTTTGAGTAAAGAAGTTTTGTGATTTTTACAAGTTCACCGGATAGATGATTAAGAGTGATCAGGAAATTTTAATGGGAAGAGATTATTACGCAAGATGTCGCTGACAGAGAATTAGCCAGGAGTTTCTGAATTCCTTGAAGCGGGAACTTTGTTAAAAATAAATGAGAATAATATTCATGATATGAAAAATAACTTCTACAGGATGACCAAAAAAGTCGCAAAACCTGTATTAAAATATTTGTCGTTGGTTGGAATTAAATATGATCCGATTGGATTAATGAACAAAAAATATCGTTGTGACTGTATCAGAGCCCGCGAATTTCTGAAGACTGTGGACATTTCCAACGCTTGATAAATATACTACAATTTTTGTTTGTTTTATGATTTCAAAACAGAATATTCGTCAGGAATGAGTTGCGAAATTCTTCTGCCATTCTCTTTTAGGCATCTCGACATGGCAACAGCTGTTTCACCTTAATTTCCTTTAAGGCTGAATTATGAAGGGGACCACAGCGGATTTCATAACGTTTTAAAAATTGTTTGTAGGTCTCGAATGTAGTTCACGGGTTCTGCCCGCTCGTCGCTGTCGACGAGAAGAACTTGTTCTGTTCGTAATTTCTCGTTACCGAGTTATCGAGATGACGTCATGGTAATAAGGATGGAAGGAAAAAAGTAAAAGAGAACATGTCCCTTTTTGTGGCACAAATTTTGTCGTTTGTGAAATCTTCATCCGAAACCTTCACCTGAAAGACCTACTTATGAGTTTGGAAGCAATCAATGTCCACACTGCAGAATATTAATTACAAAATTTTTCAAAAAAAAAAAAAAAAAAAATTATGAACATTCGTTTTTATAGTCTTAACGAAGTCCAACTCTGATAATATCCGTAAATAGTCAGAAACGGGGGATTATTCTCTTTGCAACCACGTATGAAACGCCTCAGGGGTCACCGCGTTACGCGGCCGGGCGTTAAACAGGCTGACAACTTTTAGTTTCCAGGGTCAGAATGCGTGTGGAACAAACGCCTCCGCTCCACATTCAGATGTGGTGTTTCATTAAATTTCAGTCTCAGCTTTACTCTCCTCAGAATATCCCTCGAAATACAATGTTAGAGTCACCAACACTAGATCTTAAAATATTAGATTTTGGAAGCGAATGTCATGGTTCTAGCAGAAAGTATCATAAGATACTTTGATTAATGGCTCGCTAAAAAACAATATTGTGGACACAACAACAAGTTTTATCTGGTTGGTCCTTTGGAATGTAGTACGCTCCTGTTAATAATTTGGACGTCACAAATCCTGTCTCCCACTTAATCCTAAATGCCTACTGGTAACTATATGCACCACCTAATTCAACAGTCAGTAACTCTGCATTTTGTATTTACGTGTTTCGTATGATTCGCACTGTAAACAGCGATTATTTCCTTAAACAGCGTTAACCACTTGATCTTTGTAATGGTGAGGCGTTGTGTTTTCTTCGCGGTACGGACTGAATTCTTAAACGTCATTTAAATGAGCTTCGGCTTCATATGGTTAATTATCAGAATAAATGTCCATTATTTCCTTAAACAGCGTTAAACATTTAATCTTTGTAATGGTGAAGTGTGGTGTTTTCTTCGCGGTACGGACTGAATTCTTAAACGTCATTTAAAATGAGCTTTGGCTTCAAATGGTTAATTATCAGAATAAATGTCCATTATTTCCTTAAACAGCGTTAACCACTTGATCTTTGTAATGGTGAAGTGTGGTGTTTTCTTCGCGGTACGGACTGAATTCTTAAACGTCATTTAAAATGAGCTTCGGCTTCAAATGGTTAATTATCAGAATAAATGTCCATTATTTCCTTAAACAGCGTTAACCACTTGATCTTTGTAATGGTGAAGTGTGGTGTTTTCTTCGCGGTACGGACTCAATTCTTAAATAATATTTCGACGAGCTTTTGCTTCAGAGGGTTAACCAGTTGATCTTTTTAACGGTGAAGTGTGGTGTTTTCTTCGCGGTACGGACTGAATTCTTGTATATTTAGATGATCTTCGGCTTTAAAGGGTCGAGACAGGCGAAGAGTTACGAATGTGTGTTAGTGACCGCTGGGATTTACGATTTATTTATGGAGTTCCGGTTCTGAAAGCGTTCACCTAACACATTTGTCTACGTCGTGGTTAACAGAGCAGAGAAGGTATGATCGGTAATTTAACAACGCTTACGATTGTAAAATATTTTTTTCATTTCAGTCAGTGTTAGTTCTCACACAAGTGAGAATAAAGTGAAATCTGAGGTTCTCGTGGGGGAGAGGAGAGGTTTACTGACTTTTCGGTGGTACATTCTGCCTCCACCATCGCGATGACGGAGGCAGCAAGAATCTTTGAAACGTCGTTAGATTTTACCGGACTACACGGTGCAACAGCGGTACAACCTTTCCGATTATTATGTACAAGCTGATGTCTGCATGTTGGCGTTCGAACGTGGCGTTCGCTTCATACGATCGGAATTTTGTGGTCTGCGCATGTGTCTGAAGTTTGGTCCTACTAATATAATTCAGGCTTTTTGTGCGTGCGGAATGGACCCGGCACGAAGTGCGTCGATGACACGCTGGCCTTATTACCTGTTCTCCTTCGGTCAGTACGCCACTTCGCGTTCATTTGTTTTGGGCGAAATCTTAATTTATTCCTGTTCTGCAAGTATCACGTCACAAGAAGAGCGATTCAGTTGTTTTCTGTTTCCTCTCAGTCGGTACAGTTACTAATTACGGGCTGGACGACCGGGGTTCGATCCCCGAAAGGGGCAAAGGATCTTCCCTCTAGCCTCTGCGTCCAGACCGGCTCTGGGGCCCACCCAGCCTCCTATCCAATGGGTACCGGGATCTTTCCCCGGGGCGGGCGGCCGGGGTGTGACGCTGACCACTCACTCTCCATCTAGTGACGGGTTTAAGAATGAGTTGGAGCTATACCGTCTCTCCCCCCAAGCGCGTACATGGCGTGTAGCTGGACAGATTTTCCCTCTTCATTGAAGATATCGGTACCTTTCCCTCTAATTCGTCTTAGATACAGATTTTAAAAGTAAACGTGAATTTTTCATAAAATCATTTTTCCTTAAATATCGAACTGCCTTTTCAACCAGAGTAGAGCGAACTTTATCTCTGAGTTAGAGTGCCGTGCTTATTCTTAATCTTACAAGATTCTGCCTTGTTTAAGATAGGTCTGATATGTTTGCACAAACTTTAAACTTTCCAAATTAAGTAGGATCTGAGGTTTTCTGGGCGGTGAGTCCGAAGATGGTGGCCGTCTTCTGGGTTGTGGCGACGTGTAGTGGAAGTTTACCGGACGTGATGATGGAGGCAGCAGGCGCTTCTGAAACGTCGGTGAACTTGTACCAGGGTACACGGCGCAACACCCCAGAATACGGCCATCTTCGTACTCACAGCCGTGAGAACCTAAAAATGCTTCCGCTCTCCTCCTCTGCTAACAGCCGTGAGAACCTAAAAATGCTTCCTCTCTCCTCCTCTGTTTATTATGATCATTATACACTGTCGTCTGTGAATTAAACAACACGTAGAAGGGCCCTTCTCGAGAAACTGCTAGTCGCTTAGGTAGTCAATAAATTTGTTGTCCCCTCCCCTTATGGAACCCGAACATTCAATACCGTATTCATAAGAATCTAAATCCTGTTTTGAGCCAGATGAATCCAATCTTCTTGAACTAAAGTTAAAAATAATTATACCTACCAGAAGTAATGACACTCATTTCTCGAGTTAACACAGCGTTTGATAGCCACAGGGCGAGTATTTGTTGTTTGTGTGATCATTCAACGATGCTGTATCATCTATTGAGGTTTAAGAGAGTGGTAGGTTAATTGTGGAACTGGAGGGGTATGTGAAGAAGCGGTCGTGGCCTGTTATAAGAATTGTGCTAGAATCTG